GGCCGGCCATGGCGGCGCCGCCTCTCGCTCCCCGCGGAGAGTGAAGGAGGATCCTATTGTTCTTAAGCAGAGAGCCGCGGCCATGCTGCTCTGCTCGCCAAAGCGGAGGAGCTCTTGGCGAAGAGAATCGAAGACGGAGACCCCATGGCGTATTTCCTAAAGGGACAGATGTACTACGAAGAGGTGGTAGTTTTGTACTTCTCTTTTTCCTCTCTTTTTTCATAGTGTAAAGCTGACAATTTTTAATACAGTTTCAGTGGGGGAAAAATAAAATCAAGAATTGCACGTTTTATCCCCATGACAATCAGCAGATTTGTCTCCTAAATAGATTTTTGCCCAAGAAGCAAACACTGAAGACAACAACAACAAAAAGTTGTAAGATGGCAAAGGCAGATATAGCAGATCAGCACTAAAGAAAGCAGAAGCTGTTCTCAACCATGCAGCTTCCCTCTCTTCTGATTAAAAAAAAAAAAAAAAAAGGCCGCATTTCATGTGAGGCAGCTGCCGACTCACTGCCATTTACAGGCCACTAGGACTGTGGAACATGACAGAGCTACTTCTGCTGCAGGTGGTGCCTTTGTTAAGACACAGAATCACAGAGTGGTTGAGGTTGGACGGGATCTCCACAGATCATCTAGTCTGAGCTCCCTGCTCAAGCAGGGACACCCAGAGCACATGGCACAGGGTGGCATCCAGGCAGGTCTGCAAGATTTCCAGAGAAGGAGACTCCACAGCCTCTCTGAGCAGCCTGTTCCAGTGCTTTGTCACCCTCACTGTCAAGAAATTTTTCCTTAAGTTCCAGTGGAGTTCCAGGGGCACACTGGACTTCCAGGGAGTTCCAGGGGAGTTCCAGTGGCACACTGCTGCCTCATGGTCAACTTGCCATCCACCATGACCCTCACAGTAAAGTTTTTCCTCATATGTAGATGAAACTTCCTGTGTTTTAATTTATACCCATAAAGACACGAGGGCCAACTGCTGGGTCCAAAAGCTTTTCAAACACCTGAATTTAATCTTTGCCCATAAAAATGATCCTTAAAGCTCACCTAAATTAAGATATATCCTACAGGACGGGGTATCTAAGTTAGACAAACAGCTCCTTAGCCGACAGTCATAGCATCGTAGTGGAGGCAAAGAAGGTTGTCAGGACATCTTCAAGGCTGATGTCTGCGTACTAAATATTATTTGTGTTTAGAGATTTCATAAAGAATGAAATAAACCTTGTTTGTAAGCCCTAAGTGCTTCCATGCTATTAAACATTTTTGTTGTTATTGCCTTACCCTATCCCAGGATAAGAACAAACACTTTGGCTCTTCCCTCACTAAAGTTGTTCCAGTTTGAAGTACTGGCTGAGGGTCGCTACTGGAGATGTAGCTGCAGGAGGTGCTGGGCTCGCTCTGTGCATCTCCTTGCTTATTGTGTCTTTTTCAGGGGTGGTATGAGGAAGCATTAATACAATTTGAAAGAATCAAGGATACGGATTTTCAAGCTATGTATCAGCTTGGTGTGATGCATTACGATGGACTAGGCACGAAAGAAGACCCGGTGAGTAATCTAGCTGTATATGTTTTACTGTATGTATCTAGCTGTATGTATTTGATAATTTTGAAGAGCTTCTTCATAAACTTAAGAATTTAATTTAAAACACATGGGTCATTACTGATTTATGATTAGTTTCATAAGGTAGAGAGGTTCCTCTGTTTGTACAAAGCATCATTAAAGAGGGAGTGCTCTAGGTTGAAAAAGTTCTCAAAATTAGTCATAATAAAATAAGGTTCAATATGTTCAATATATACTTATAGTAAGTTGGTTTTAAAAATATGGTGTCCAAGGGTTTGATTGCACTTTGATTGCATGGTAGCTATGTCAATTTGTTAACAGGATCTATTCATGTATTGCTTTTTAATAAGCAATGTAAACAAATAAAATTATAAAAATAGAAATCAAACAATGATAATATTTCAAAGTGTAAAACATCTGTGAACTGCTAGGACCTGAACAACAGGCCTGAGTTGAGGTTGACTTACAGACGAATAGAGCACTGCCTTTGTAGGAGTACAGAAAACTTCCTTGTAGAACTGCTCGTGCCAACTTGCATGTAGGCCTGCCAGACTGTTCATGCTAAGGAGGCTGCACGGAGGCTTATTAAACTGTAACTTTTGTAGGCTCTTGTGCAGCTGTTTTTGACCTTGAAGGGAAGCCTCCCATCCAAGGCCTGGGCTCTGGCCAAGTGCTGGTCCCGGATGATTGGGGAGTATGCCACACCAGATGTTACCGCTCACAAAGGACATGCAAGTTACCCCGATTTGCTGATTTGGCTCTACAAAAGCTGGACCCTCTTGCAGCAACTTTGGAGACCTCAGTTACCAGTGAACGCACTGCGTAAGACTTCCCAGTTGCCGGGGAGGTTCTCCAAATCCTCGCTGCAACGGGGGCTCCCTGCGGATCTGGATGATGGTAACATATTTAGGCAATTGGTGATGTATCATTTTCTTAATCGCTATTCTCTTTCTCATATAGTAATGGTTAGGTGCATTACCTTGCTTATTTCATCTGTCACTAAAACCAAGTGCATAATAAGCTTATTGCTTTGTTGAATGTATCATTCTGCATTGCCTTATTATTAATAGTAAAACAAGACCATTGTTTCCATTGGTGCCTGGTTCTTTCCGTCGCCCCCATCAACTGGCAAAACAATCTGTTACGGTTTTAAAGACATTTTTCAGATTCTAAACATAAACGTGAAAGATTATTTTGCTTCTGCCAATGGTTGGCAACAGTGTTTTTAAATTGGACAACTGAAGAACTGTACTTACTTTTGGAAAAGCAAAGAGCAGTAAAAACGTGAATGACCGTTGTGAATTCTGTGCCACATTCTTGCTTTAATTTCTCTTAATTTTAATTTTACAACAGTGACAATGTACGTAGCTGTCGTAGCATCGTTCATGTAATTCTCCAGTTGTTAAGTCAGTGTAAAGGTTTGCCAAGAGATGTTCTCTTCATAAGCTCCCCTCCCCAGTCTTGTCGTTGATATTGCCATCTCAGAAAGCGCAAAAAGGTCAGTTTAACCAATTCACCTGGTAAATCATGTAGTGCCACTTGAACAACCAAAGGAACAGACCCAAGTCTGCTACTAGGTTTCTGAAGGTAGATTGTAGCATTAATGCAGGGGCCTGACAACTTCAGGGGAGGTTTTTGAGAGGCAAGGGGGTGAAACAAGCAGGATCACAGCTTAAATGTATCATTCACAGTTATTCACAGGGGAGGGTGTTTTTTTTTTTCTCTCTCTCTCTAACTATTAGAACAAAATACAAGATTTGGACAGCAGTATTATAAGCCTTCTAGCCATTGAAAAGTATTTCTTAATAATCTAGGGTCACCTAATGGGAACTGTTTGACCAGCTCAGCAGTCTGAAATATATATATTTGCAGTTTTAACTCTGTTTTATTTTTTATAGTCATGGTTTATAACTAGGTATGGGCATAAATTATATTTTTAAGTACAATAAGTATATATGTATTTTTTCAATCATTTGGTGCCAGATACCCTTCTATCAGTTCTTAAATTATCTCCTCCCATATCTTTTCATCTTTGTGTTACCAATATTTTGTTTAAAAGGCATTTAAAAAATGAGCTCTATCTGACTTGCACAGTTGGCCTAGTACAGTTTTGCTCTGCTTTGAGGCAGGAATCTCTCAATATCTAATCAAACAGACGTTAACGTGCATGATAAATACAGAAGTTTCGTGTGCAGCACTGAGAAGGAAAGCATTGAGGCTGCAGTATTGCCCCTGCATGCCATGCATAACCCTGTATTTCTAGATGCTAAAGTCCATTGATCAATGATGTTAATGGAACTGGAGGATGAGTCATGTTTTTTCACAACTTCAGCTGTAAAGTTAGCTATTAATATTTTTAAATATGTAAGATTTACTTGAGCATGAAAGTTTAATTTTAGTCATATCAAATGAATAAATGTACATGTAGTCTGTTAGACAAGATATCAGATACATAGCTACAGTTTAGATAAAAATAAATACAAAAATTAAGAGTTCACTGGCACTCTGATATACACACATACTGTATGGAAGGGTCTAAGAGCTGAAAAATTGCCTGCCTCATGTAACTTATCAGATTCTTTGTCCTTTTCCTAATATGAAGGTAATGATGAAAAATTCTAAATTTTAGGAAAAGGGAGTGGAATACATGAAGAAAATAATCAACTCTGATTCTCTAGATGCAAAACACTTGAAGTTTGCAGCTGCCTACAATCTTGGTAGAGCTTATTATGAAGGATGTGGTGTTAAGCAGTCAACTGAAGAGGCTGAAAGGTAATTACAGCCAGTAATTTTCCTGATAAATTTAATATCTCTAACTGCAGTGCCATTTAAACTTCCTTTGTCTCTGTCCTGGTTAGACTGTGGCTTATTGCTGCCGATGATGGGAATCCAAAAGCAAGTGTAAAGGCCCAGAGTACTTTAGGGCTGCTTTACTCTCTGTCAGCTCTAAAAGATGTGGAAAAGGTAAGCACACTTACACCTTCAGAGTGTTATGACCCCCAATTTAACTTTACAGAGAGATTATGGCAATATATTTGGTTCTGAAGGCTGTTCAGATTAACAGTCTTAAACTCCCATTAAAGAACTACTTGGGTAATGTAAAATGCTATTTGAGATACATAGGAAACAACTTTGTACCTCCTGTTCAGGCCTTTTTCTGGCACTCGGAGGCATGTCTCAATGGAAATCTGGAATCCCAAGGAGCACTGGGTGTCATGTATCTCTATGGACAAGGTGTCCGTCAAAACATTCAGGCAGGCTTGGAGTGTTTGAAGAAAGCAGCAGAACGTGGAAACGTCTATGCTCAAGGCCATCTTGTGGAATATTATTACAACAGAAAATTCTACTCAACAGCTGTTTCAGTAGCCAAAAGGTGAAGTTAATTTGGCTTTATTTTTATTACAATTCTCTGTAACTTAGATGGAAATAATTAAGTTCATGCTTTTGTCTCTTGGACTTAACAGACATTTGAAATAATGATCTTGTCTTTTAAAAGTGAACAGCAAGTAGGGACAAATTAAGACTAATGATTATGAGAATTCCAATATAGTTGACCTTTCTTAGATTCCCAGTTCAGTACACAGGCTCTACCCTGTCTCTTATTTCCTCATCCTACCATTTATCCAGGCTATTGTCTTTCCCGTCCCACTCTAAACCCCAAAAAGGATTGCTCTTCTCTCCCCACTCTCCCTCCTAATGCAATTTCAATTTCTACCCAGCCCATCATTTCCTTGCTCTCTGCCTCACCCTGTTTTGGGCATGTTCCTGGGTCCTTTATAGGAAGCACAGGCCTTAATGCTGGTTGGCCTCCAGCAGTAAGGATGGAGGAGCAGCTGCTGCACAGAAGGCCATATTACTACCCTTTAACATTTCATCAGCTGCTACCTACAAGCCAGCCATATGTTTTTGAAGGGTAGAGCACAGAACAGGCACCTGCACATGAGTGGGTTACGGTGACAACCTGCTCGTGCAGCAGTGCTGGTTTGCGCCGCTGTTAGGCAAGCTCTGCCTAAAGGTCACAGGCAGTCACTCCCGCTCCAGGCCATGGGCTCTTGGGAGCTTCCTACCTGCATACTCTGGAGTGATCTCTGCATTGCAGAATAGCAACCCATGCAGGCTAGCTGCAGTATTTAAAAAAAGAAGGAAAAGGGCTACGTCAAATCAAAGTTCTGTAGCTAAAACTAGATATGGGAGAGGAAAAAGCAACGTTGGTGCCAATTCTGAGATCGATAAGCAGCACATTTCTGTTGCAACTCATCACACCTGGCCAGCAACTGTTAAGAATTCAGTCTGTCAACCAGATTATGCCACTGCCTATGAAACGAAAGCTTTGCTTTCTTCAGCATACATACGTGTATGCGTATATATATATATGTATTTGGATATATGCATACCTTTTAATAGAAGCTATTAGTGTGAAAAATGCTGTCCTGTGTAACTAGTACAAATGTAGTGAAAATGACTGTAAAAGTTAATGATTTCAATATTGTGATATCAAATAATTTAAAATCCAATACTGAAGAATCCTCTTCAATCTGTCAAATGGTTTATCAGTTTATTTTGGATACCTATATTTTCTTGGAAAAGTATATTATCATCCATACATTGTTAAGTGATATGGAATTTAAATTAATAATATCTCTATTTATATATCTGACTTAAATTGATGTTTGAATTTTTTTTCCTAACCTAACGCTGTAAATTCTGTAACAGGATTCCAGAAAATGTTAACATTGCTGTAGTAGCAAAGATAACTGATTGTCTTCCCACGTACGTAGCCAAAGGGGCAGCTATGGCTGCTTTCTACTTTGCTAGATGTCTCCAGCTTGGCCTAGGCATACAACAAGATGAAGCTGCTGCTAAAAAATACTATTCTAGGGTAAGCTGGGAAGCTCTTACAAACTAATAGATAGCTTATGAGACTGTAATGCCTTTGGTTGGAGTCTTTGTATTTTGTTGTTGCATTAAATGCTTGTACATTATGTTAATTGGTGCAGGAATACGGTGGAAAAAAAGACTATCCAAAATGACTAAAAATAGTCTTGAAGGATAATGTTTGCTCACCTATGTAAGCAAACAAAGCATGTGGCCAAACCAGAAACATGCCATAGCAATTATCGTAGCAAAGAGCTGAGGTGAATTCTCTTGAAAGTTTGCCAGTCACTTCATGGATGACAGTTACCCCCAGTTGGTTTGCTCTTTATCATTCTCTCACTGTGAAAAGGAAGCTAGAAGCCATCATTATCTATTTTTATTTCACACCCCACCTCCCCGCCACACGCACACACATCCACCCCTTTCCTCCCTTTCCCCACTCCCTCAAGCAACAAATCTCACTTCAGGTCAGAATACGTGTTTTTATTCTGGCAACTACCACCTTCTTTAATGATGCTGAAGTTGATCATAACTCTCTCACTTATGTTTACATTAGCACTGATAGCTAGGGAGCTACTAATACACAAAATTAGGTCACTTTTTAACACACTAAAGTGAAATTTGTTTCTTGAGGAAGATGATAATGATGTCTTCTAGAGGATAATTATACTAAACACTATCAGTGATTTTTAAAGGCAGCCACGGTGTGATGCTTCTGCTAACAGAAGGGAGTACAGTAAGACAGGGTTCATGCTATAAAGATACTCTCTGATCTCTGTTTGTATGTAGAGATCACTTGTTTCTGTAAATAAATTACTTCTGTGTCCAGCTTGATGAAATACAAATAAATGGAGAACTCTGCAAACAATAATTTATCAACCAACAATTTTTGTGGCTTCTTACTTGGGGAAAGCATTAATAGAAAGAGGCCTAGTTGAGCATCTGGATGCATACATACACTTTAACACTTTTCACAGTAGAAAATTAAAACACTACAAAAGACTGATAGAGGAGGTCAGGGAAGGAAAGCAAAATCAACTGGGATTTTATGACCATGGCAGCCATGAGGCTTAGTTCATGCTTTAAGGAATGGAGGAGGTGGCTCATGACAGCACGGCTTCCATGTGCCCCCGACTCCTTCCCCATTTTTTTCTGCCTACCTTAGAATAAACAAAAGTTAACTACAGCTTCAGGAATTCTTCAGTGGCAGGAGATTTGGGACTTACCTAGGAATGTCAGTAACTTCTTAACTGTGAAAAGAGATGATAGGCTGGGACTGTGGTCTTGTCAGCTGATGGCAACATTAGAGAAGGGACAGACCAAACACACAAGAAAACTACCTGAAGTGGTAACTCCAGAACAAGTGTAAGACAAGAGGTACAAAGATGTTCAGTTGCTTTTGTTTTTTGTTCTTGGAAGATAACTTCAACATTGTTTGCACAATTATACCCATTTCAGTGGCGTAAAATGAGAATGTTGCTTTCTTAAAGCAACCCCTCTTAGGCCCACTCAGCTTTCAGAGAGGCAGGGAAGGGAAGCCAGGTGTCCCAAAGGATCGTGGAACAGATGGCAGTGGGTGAAGCCAAGCCCATCCCTCAAGCAGATTCCTCTTTGCCTGTGGTGTCACCTACCCTAGCAGCAAACAGTGACAGTGTTAAAGAAATAAATAAAAGCAAAGCCTAACATGCTCATTTTACTTCTACCGAGTCCTATGGGACATCAGAATCAGAGATTCAAGGCGGAATATAGTAAGTCTATAACGTTTCAACAAGTTGATGATTTTGGATAACATCAACAAAATTTACAAATTAAAATTGTTGGTGTTGCATTGACAACATAATTTTGTAGTTTAGCTATAAACCAGAACTCACTGTTCTTTGTTTTCAAGGCATGCCTTCTGGATCCTGCTGTCGCTTCTGACCTTGAACTGAAAGCTAATCTTGGGAAAATTTAGTGTTTCCCTTAGTTATGGCTGGTGTATAAACAAGTTTCCTACACCAATGAATCTTTAGTCTTCAGCAGTTACAGACTGATCATCATTTACTGCTTGCTTTTCAACCTCCTATAAATTACTATTTAAAACAATTCTGTAGTATTTTATTTAAAAAAGGCAAAAGGTCACAGTCTAACTCAGATACAGCAAAGGCAGACTTTTAAAAATAATACTGAAGACTTCAGGTATACTAAGGACACTTACCTGCAGCTGAGTCCCCGGGTTTTCTTAATGAAGCACTGCTTTGATAAATAAAAGTGAAATCGAATACAAATAATTATTTCATTTTCTGCTGTTTAAAACATTTAAATATTAAGTATACTTCTTCTGAAATGCTTGAACTCTAACATGCCTGGTTTTCATGTACAGCCCATTCTCCATCATGGCTTTATGGTAAATGCCATCCTTAAATGTCAACTTTGCTAGTAATACATACATTTTTTCACACATGCTTTTCTAATGCATCTCCTAATCTGCTAGTGTCCTAACATTTATTTATTTATTTAAATCTTTATACTGCAGATTCAAACCATGCAAACTTCTAATACTGAAAAAATCTGTTTAAATAACTAGCTATAGAAAGAAAAAACACTCAGTATGGAAACATTAGGGAATTCAGCCTCTGCTCTAGGCCTGTTCTCCCAACCCTTCATACTGCACTTACAGTACCTGTTTTAGAAATAATTGAAAGATTTTTGGTCAAGAGTGTACATGTCTGAGCAACATCTCAATCTTTTATAAGATACTTCAACTAACAAATAATAAATTTTACTGACTGCCATGGTAGGCTTAGCCCATTCTCTGTATTTACTTCATATGGGTAGGAGAATGAGGCTAGCTTCCTAGGACTGTACTGTGACATGAAAAGCTTATGGCTCTGCTGCAAGAGAAGGCTAGCTGGTACTAATACTCTGGATTTCAAAACAGCATGGGGATTGCATTGTGTAACTTGAACTATGTCCAGTCTCAGCTGCAATTTAAAAGGTAAGTAATGAATGTCACCTATGGATTTTGGATGTTATTCAATTTAGATGTGCATTCTGACCATATTTACATATTTTTATGTAACTTAAAAAAATTGAAGTTTTTTTTTTCCTTCTTTTGTATAAAACAAGGGAAAGATTTGAAGGTTGGTCCCAGTTGGGATATCTGAATAAAACAGCCCTGAAAAATATCAGGGGTGCAGTTAGAATGGCTGGATTAAATGTCTACTTATTTGTTCATGGAAGCAATTGACGAGTACTAATCTTTGAATGCAGGCGATCTGTTCCAACATGTCCATTCACAACACGCAGTTTGGACGCAGTAATGAAAGTGATGAAAGTATTCTTTAAGAAACAAGGGCTATCAAACGCATTCATTAGTTGTTAGTACAGCCTAATTATCAAGTACAGAAATCCAGTTTTGTTATTTATTGCTTATAAATGCTTCAACATATGGGAAATCTTTGGTAAAAACAAAATTGATAAAATTTTCACAATAGCTTTACATGTAGTATTGCACAACAAGACTTTTTCAAAACACAAGAATAAAGGAATGCTCAGATCCTCAGTGAGGAGATTAGAACTGTACAACATTCATTAGTTTACCACTATAAGCAAAACCTTTTTTTTTCATAAATGTTTAAAATAGTTTCTGCTATTTTTTCAGCTTATATGAACATTTATTTTTCAATCTATAGTTGAAACAGAAGAGTAGTCAAATAGAACCATTTAAATAAAAATTGGCAACTATACAGCATTGTTTTATCTACCCTACTACAGCATGAGATCTTTTCAAGTCTGTTTACTTCACAAAAAAAGTAAGAGAAAAAAAAACTAAAAATAATCATAGTCCTCAGCCCTCTATGGAAAAGAGGAAAATAAGTTTCATGTCTATTATTGCATATAGACATTTCTCTAGTGGTCCACGTGTGTAGATTCAAACCTAAGTGGCATTAAGCTGCTCTATATGAGCTCTTAGCTCAGGACACAGTTCAATTAGCAGCAATTCCAGCAAGACCTGAAAAGCAGAAAAGATTAAGATGAATACGGATGCCAAATGAGAATTTTCTTCCTTTCTGGCATGCTTAGAACATCACAGTTAACAGAAGCACATGGAGTCAGTCACTCTGTTCATCCCTTGTGGGACAGCTTTTTTTTTTTTCTTTTTTTTTTTTCCTTCATCCTAAAATTAGCAGGCACCCTGCTAAAATTCGTATGCACCCTGTGAGGTCAGTAGTGTTGCATAGGTAAAGGATCTCTTAGACAAAAGCAATATTACATTTTAAATATCTTATCCTCATGCAGTTTGTCAATATAAACCAAGTTCATGCTTTTTTGGTTTGTTTTTATAATAAAAGTTATTTGCAAACCTAGAACAATAATCTGATACAGATCTGCAGAAACACACCCAGGCTTTACTACTGAGTAAGTAGAGCTCAGCAATTAATGGGATTATAAAGTTAAAGAGTACCTTTCCAGTTACTTACGTAGAGTAGATGCTTGTTAGCCTTTCTTTCTTGCAATGCATTGAACACTTTGACTACACCATGACGGGCATTTTGTTGTCCAACAAGACTCTGCAGAGTATCTGCAACAAATGGTACATTGGTTGGAATTGATTCACTCATCCAGGGAAAAATATCCAGCAAACAAATATATACGAAGGAGAAACAAAACCTGTGTACTTAATGGTGGAAGGTTAGAAGATGCATAGTGCCCATACAGCAAGGTATTTATAACACAGGGGTAATTTAGGACACAGATTGAGAGACATCTTTATTCTCCAGTGTTCTGAACACCAGAACAATGTACACATATCCAGAAAAACAGGTCATATGTTTTAGTATTGTCTCATATATTATTAAACCAGTCACTTAAACACAATTTCTGCCAGAAAAATAAATCTCCTACGACAGTTAGTACAGATTCAGCATTCTAATTTACTCTCAATCTACACAGAAAGCAGTGTCACAATTAAGTGGACAAGCGACTAAATGAATTATTTACAGTTTGGATTAAATTTCAGGGGAGAAGTAGTAGTGATCTAATGCTTCATCATTAACTTCAGGCGCAGTTAGCTTCACTGCATAAAAGCTTTGTCCTAAAACACTTCTACTTTCACCACAACCATGGAACGCGAGCCTGGTTAAGCAGATGAGTAGCCGATTTTTAGTCTCACCTAGGCTCCTTGGTGAGCAATGCTTACAGAAGTACACTGACAGCTCTTACTATACATGAGTCCATGACCTTTACCAGCTGCAGACAGGAGAGGCAAAGATATGACCAACATTATGCTTATTTATGCAAATAAGCAGAATTTAAAACTCTAGAGGAAAAAGCTAAAATGTAGCAGAACGATATTTGGCTAATGAGTTTCCCTGCTAGTAAAGCCTGAGATTAAGTAGAAAATGAAAATGTTCTCACCTGGAATGTTTTCAAGTAGTTTTTGCTGTGCTCTCTGTTTTGTCTCTTGACTTTGCTCTTCGGTTTTGGCTGTTGAGGGTGGTGCTAACTTTCCGTTTGGCCAAAAAGCATCTCGGAACACACCAATGTAGTAAACAAGCATCGGTTCACTGAACATCCAGTGCACGGTGTCACGGATTTGCCTGTAAGAAAGTGTCAAAAGGGAGCACATCAGAGCTTATCTGCCAGGTTTTATACAGATTTGTTTTTTCTACTCCTGGAAGCAGTGGAAATTCATGGCAAATCTTATTCAGCTCTAGGTGCTCCAAGCTCTAGGTTACTCCGCATACCTGACTGAGGTGTGGAGGAGGCTACATTTCAAGATAATGTGTAAATCGCTAGTATTTCAAGGAGTGGCAACGCAAAAGTACCACTAGGAAGAGAAAGATGAAGGATGGAGTGTAGGGGGGAAATTAGAGTTTGGACAGAAGTGCAGTAAGTCCCCTCACAGCCACAGCCTGGCAGTAACAGGAGGCTGCAGCCCCCTGCTGTGGCTGCCTGCCCCGCAGACCTCAGCACCAAGGGCTTGAGGCCTCAGACAGCTCCAGGAAGAGCAGCCCGGTGCAGCTGTGCCACAGGACGGCCACAGCCCTTACGTGCAAATGCAAAGGTCCACGCAGCACAGAAGAGCTCCCCAGCACCAGCCATGCCTGCACACAGTGTCTGCCTCTCTCCGGTCTATCTCCCATCCTACCTGTCTGCAGGGTGCAAACAAATGACCCCATGCACTGAAAAATCGGCAAACGCGCACGTCAGAGACCATCAGCTCATCAGGAGGCCACGGCCAGAGCTTCCAGCCCTTCTTGTCCAGTTTAGTACTTCACAACCTCCGCGAGCGGTTGTTACAAGCAACGCTGCCGTGTCCAAGCTTAGCCACTGAGTGGCTGAAGGAACAGCCTGTTCTGCTGTCTATTTCCGCACCGAGACGCCTACCTCAGTAATAGTCCCACTGCTACACCAAAGCAAAAATGATACATTTCATCGGATCCTCAGTGCTCCTTTGTGAATATAGTACAGGAATCACAGATTCACAGAATTTCATAGAAAAAACATCACCAGATGATGCATGAGGGCATCAGTATTGGTAGCAGAATCGCGGGAAATGATGCGTCTGCAAGAGTTATCTGCACTACTGGATCAAGGGATTTACCACAGGTCTTTTCATCTGGCAGAGGGCTTCTATCCAAAAATCCTTCTGACCATTAAAATAGAAGATTTTGCACATGAAAGGTATGTACAAGCATGAACACTTACTTCCCAGCCTCATCCACACCTCATTAGGCAGACACATCTTCAAATGACACAGAAAGAAAAGGTTTTATGAAAACCCATTACTCTGTTACACACGTACTAGTTTTAGGTGATAGTGTTTTTACAAAATAAGAACCATTAAATTCTTTTGTCCATTTTAGAGAAATCTTTTTAATGTGAAACAATCCAAAACAGAAATACAATTTCTGATCTGAGAAAAAACTTCATGGGACTGAAAAATAAAGCACTTAAGCTAACAAAAGC